TGAAGACTGCAGTGATGACCCTTTACACTGATGAAGACTGCAGTGATTACCGTTTACACTGATGAAGACTGCAGTGATGATGAACATTTACAGTGATGAACGTTTTGATGAAGGCTGCAGTGATTGTGAATGTGCAGTGATGGAGATTTACTGCAGTGATGATGAAAGTTTACACTGATGAAGACTGCAGTGATGATGAAAGTTTACACTGATGAAGACTGTTCGGTGATGAAAGTTCATGTTCATGAAGACTGCAGTGATGAACATTTATAGTGAAGACTGTGCAGTGATGATGAATATTTGGTGATGAAGACTGCAGTTACAAATGCTTACAGTGATGATGAACTAGGCAGCTTCAAACCTGAAGTTGGAAATAATAATTGATTCAAGAGAAACTTTATTAAAACAAAGCACTTTAACAGCCCACAGGCACAGAGACAGTAATTTTGCCACCACTCATCAAACAGCATTCTGGGTAAATTTTAATTAGAGGATGGTATTTACTTGTGAGACATAAGTCACACCAACTTTGTTTTTGATGTTGTTTTGGTTTTGATGAAATGTGAAATGTTCTGTTAGAAAAAATAGAAAACAGAAAAAGGCAGCAGCACAGCCAGTTCACGTCACTGACATCACGTAGCAATACCACGAAAAGTTCAACATAAAAGGAACAGATCATCAGGTAATGACGGGATCAATGTAGGGATCATTGGATCCTGTAGGCGTCAGTAAAAGAATCATTGGATCTGTAAGGGTTGATGTAAGCTTCTGTGGATCATGTAAGGATCAATTTTAGTATCATTGGATCATGTAAGGATCAATTTTAGTATCATTGGATCATGTAAGGGTCAATGTAAGAAGCATTGGATTATGTAAGGATCAATTTATGAATCATTGGGTCATGTAAGGGATTATGTAAGATTCAGCGGATCACATAATGATCAGTTTAACGATCATTGGATCATGCAAGGGTTGATGTAAGGATCAGTAAGGATAAGTGGCTCATGTAAGGATCGTTGGATCATGTTTCAGCTTATGCTGGGAGAGGTGACATCAGTTAAAGACTTTTTGTGATTGGAGGAATTTTATGAGCATTGACTCTAGGTTAGTACTTCCCACTTGGACAAATTCACCTGGCTGACTGAACTCTAACTGGCTGCTCTTCTCTCTTAATTATAAAATCCCTCCAGTCACTGCTGACATTTTTATGAGAAAAAGTAGAAGGTGGAATGATCTTTATCTGTTTTTCTTCCATTTGACAGTTTCGTTTCCTTGGTAATAGGAGGGGGTCAGATCTGCAGGCACGGAGCTCAGCCAATCACAGGCCTTCGTTGGCGAGGGACGCAGACACCTGATGGGAGGAGGAGATTGATTACTGAAGTAAGGTTTGTGATTTGTTTCATTTTGAGCAAAGCAAGTGGCTCACCTGGTCAGCCAGAGTGTCAAGAGGCGGAGCTTCAGCAGCATTAAGGCTTTCATGAGAAGAAGCATTGCTAAGGTGAGGAGGGGAGGAGTCAGCCTGGACAATGATGTCAGCACCGTGGTCAGTCCGAGCTTTGGCATTCTCTTTGAAGGACAGTTTGTGGCTCTCAATCTGTAAACAAACAAACAAACATGAGTTGAAAGACATTTGATTCTGATCACTTGAGAAATTTATTTTTTTGATTTGTCATTAGCTTGTTGTTAGCACATTGTTAGTGTTAGCTAGCATGTCATTAGTGCATAGTTAGTGTGTCAGACTGTTATCACATTGTTAGAGTGTTAGCGTGTCACTAGCGCATTGGTATTGTGTTAGCACATTGGTAGCATGTTAGCATGTTGTAAGCGTATTTGTTAGTGTGTTAGCATGTTGTTGGCACATTGTTAGTTTTAGCATGTTTGTAGCACATTGGTAGTTTGTTAGCACATGGTAAGTATGTTAGCATGTTGTTAGCATGTCATTAGGACAATGATAGTGCATTATCATGTTGTTAGCACATTGTTAGTGTTTGCATGTTAGCACATATGTTAAAATAGTATTAGCTTTTTTGTCAGTATGTCAAAATGTTATTCAAAAGTATACTGTTAGCACATGTTTAGCTCATTAGTAGCATGTCATTAGCATGTTATTTGCCTATGATTAACATTTTGTTAATGCGTACCTTTTTCTTTCCTCCTCCTGGAATATGAGTAACGTTGTCCAGAGAACCAACTTTAGGCTGAACATCTTTAAACTCCACTTTCTCAGACTTGATCTCCACCTTCCCTCCACCTGGGAAGAGAGGCAGAGCTTCAATATGTTGTTCTCTGTATTACCTGTCCAGGTGGAGCCACACCACTGCACATTGAAGAACATCAGAAATGTGGTTCTGTCAGTATTGAAAACAAGTCTTGTATGAGTTGTATCACACAAATAACCTGAAGTGAAAAAAACAATAATTACACAACCAACCAAGTGTCCAATGAATCACATATTCAACAGATCTTCATCAGGACTATCAGGTGTGTGGTGCATCTCGATTGACGGAGTGGAATAAGCAGGAGTGATCTAAAAACCAATCCTTCAGGAACCTGTCACTACACAGCATCAGAAACCTCTGGAAAGTCATTTGTTATCTGCAGTTACCTGGTTTGTGGTAGATGTTGTCTTTGGAGCCGCACTTAGATGTCACGTTACTGAGATCCAGCTTCTTGTTGACAATGTGAATCTGCAGAAAAACAGGTGGATGGTCAGCTCCACCTGAGAGTGATTTTACAAGTAGAAATATACAGGCAGCCATTACCTTGCCCCCTCCAGGTGAGTGCTTCAGGTTCTCTGTGGATCCCACCTTGGACTTCACATAGCTGAGGTCGGGCATTGGATGGGAGGGAAGAGGAGGTGTCCGTCCACGAGCTGAGCCTGGAGACCTTGGCGGGGTCCGGACCACCGCCACCTATAGGACCACACCATTTAAACTATGTTAATCAAAACAAGTTGAACTAGCAGTCAGAAATAACTTCACAGAGCAAAGCAAACCAGTTTAACTAAACTAGTACCCTGAATGAACCACTGAACTAAACTAGTACCCTGAATGAACCATCTGAACCCCTTTGGGTCAGTCTGAATCACTTTGAGTCTGAATCACTTTGGATTCATCTTTCAAGTTAAAAGCCCTGATACTATACACGTTTTTTCTCTTTAAATTCAAGCCATGTTTTATTTTGATACTCAACAGGATGTCATGTGCTTCGTTAAAAAAAAAATTGCTGTTTCAAATTTTAGACCAATTTGAAGAAAAATATCAAACAGGTCATTAGATGGCAGGTGGAGAGACGGACAGGTGACAGAACAGGTGATTTCAGGTGTTTGGACCTTCTTCACATCTTTGTTGGGAGTGGACGACCTGCTGGCAGGTGAACGACTTCCTGGACTGCTGACGCCGTCGACAGACTCTGACAGACAGACAGGCAGACAGGTGAGTCTCGGGGGAACTGCTTTAATGGTTTCACTGGATATACTGGTGAGGTGTACCTGTACTCTTGGCTGAGATCATCTTTGCAGCTCTGCTGCCCCCTGCTGGTCTGGAGGCCTAAAACACACAAACTGGGTTAACCTCAGAAGCAACTTTACGTTGTAGACTACTGGACCCGTCTGGTTCTGGTTACTGGAAGTGACATCTGATGTTTAGTTAATCTGAACCTTAACCACCACAAATGAACTCCTAACCTTTGACCTTTGACCTGTCTGTAACCCTCAGATCTCTGAAGATTGTTAAAGGAGACATGCATGTGCAGATGAGACTCACCTGTTTTCCCAGAAACACAAACAATATTTTACCTTGATGGCGTCATGAGTGGGGTCCTTTACAGCTGCTTTACCTGAGGAGGGGGAGGAGATGTGTTAGTCTGTTTCCATGACAACTAGGAGATCAGAAAGTTAGAGATGGTCTGGGAAACAGGAAGTGATCGGAATGTGCCATTTTCAGCAAGAGAAGAAGAAAATTTTTTTTTTCAAAAACTTAACGCAGAGGAGTAGAGGCCGGGCCAGGAGTTCCACAAGGAGGAGCAGAGGGAGGCAGGAGTAGAAGAGAAGGTGTGGAGAAAGTGAGCTGAGAGAGAAGGAGAAAGTCCATTGACAGGAGGAGCAGAGGAAGAAGGAGCAGCAGGACAGAACTTTCCCAGTCAGGAGTACGAGTTTCTGGTTTCCTGAGAGATGCAAAGGAGGTGATTGTTCTGGTTCTCCAGTGGACACGACCTCCTCAGCACTGCTACTTCTTCCTGATGCACTTATTCGCTCTCCTCCCACACCTCCACCTTCTCTTCATCAGTTTGAGGTGCAGGTGAGTAGCAAGTTCTCTTTCCCACTATCTTCCAGCTGCTCCTCCTTTTTCTCTCCTCCTCCAGTCCACTGACTCTTCCCTTCTTTTGTCTCTCTCTTGCGCCTCCTGCTGACTGATCCTGAAAACCTCACTTCAAACTTCTTTGTCCTCCTGCTCCTCCTGTTCTGCACTTCAGTTTTGGAGTTTGTAAAGAAAACAGATTGACTGGTCTGAGGGAGGAGGTGGAGTTTAGTGAGGAGAAGAGGAGAGGAGAGAGAAGGAGAGGGAAATGCAAGGAGGTGAAACACCCATCAGCTGGTGTTGATTCATCCAGAACACAGTGACCTTGAAAAACTGAAACCAAGTCCATTTTTTAATTCAGGTAGGACCACAAATGGGAGGAGTCAGAGAGAGGAGATCTGAAGGAGGCGCTCACCTCCTTCTGTGAGCACTGAGTCAGTTTTAGGAACTGTTGAATGTTATAGACCACTGTGACACTGGAATGGTTCAGCGCAGAGCAGTCTGCTAACAAGATAAGACTTTGAGCCGCCATCTTGCTCAGAGCTACACGTGCAAGTGGCAGCAGATCAGAAGAATCTAATAATAATAATAATAACTTTTATTTATAATGCACTTTACATTCACAGTGAATCTTAAAGTGCTACAAAGAGTGAACATCAGATAGCATCAGGATAAAAGCAACTATAAAAGCAACCGAGAGCAAAACAACCAGCAGGATAACGCCTCAGAATGAACACATCAAAAAAACTTAAAATGCACAAAATGCAGATAAATCTAAATAAAAAACTAATCACAGTGAAGGAGTTGGATATTTTTCCATCAGTAGCTATAATTATTGGAGACAGCACTTCAAAGGCTGTGACATTTCATCCTATTAGATCATTCATCATTTTAAATTAAAATGAAATGTTTGTGTTGGACAGTGGAGTCAGACTGAGTGCTCCTGTCTCAGCTTTTGTAATACTGGAATGGAACAAAAAATTGTTTAGAAATGTTATTTTTGTTAATAACATACAGTACACATGGGTGTTTGATGGATAACTGTAAACAATTGTAAAATAAATGGAATATAGGATTTTTTTGACTGACTCTGGAATGGAGAAATCTGATCCCATGTCAGTTTTAGCTCAGATTTGAAGCATGATTGATTATTAAAAGATCATATCAGTGATTGACAGGTCAACACAAACCTCCCACCATCTGTTGCTCCTCGGGGGCGGGGCCATTTTTAACGAGGGCAGAGTCTCCATCCATTATCGCTCCTGAAATGAAGAGAAACAACTTTTAACGAGTTTAAAGATTTGTATATTCAAATTATTATTTCAAATTTTCAATTCAGCTTATTTATACAGCGCCAAGTCACAACAAAAGTTGTCTCGGGGCACTGAACAGAAACATTCGTATATAAAAATAATAATTTAACATTATTTATCTGAGGAGCAGACTGCTTTGAGTTTAACTCCATCACAGAACTCTCATCTTGAGCAAACATGAAGGCGACAGTGGAAAGGAAAAACTCCCTCATGAGGAAGAAACCTTCAGCAGAACCAGGCTCAGGACAAGCGACCATCTGCTTCGACCGGCTGGGTTTGGTAGGAACAGATACACAATGGCAGGTCAAGAATCACATGCTAAGATAGAAATAGTATCAAATGAAAACTATTTAATTTTAACCAAAAAAGCCCATGCTCAATAATCCAGAAACGTTTCAGAAAAAAAAAGTAAAGACTGTCCAGATGACCTGACTGAAAATTGTTGGTATTTTAACAATTCATTTAAGGACATGAGGTCAATTTGTCCTCTAGTAGTCTAAGCCTATAGCAGCATAACAAGCCAACCCTAACTATAGGATTTATCAAAAGTAAAGTGTTAAGCTCAGTCTTAAAACTGGACAATGTGTCAGCCTCATGGGCAGAAACTGGAAGGTGGTTCCACAAGAGAGGAGCCTGATAACGGAAAGATCTTCCTCCCATTCTGTTTTTGGAAACTCTAGGAACCGTGAGTAAGCCTGCAGTCTGAGAGTGAAGTGCTCTGTTAGGAAAATATGGAACAATAAGATCTGTAACATAAGATGGAGCTAGGTTGTTGAGAGTTTTGTAGGTTAGAAGTAAGATTTTGAATTCAGTTCTGGATTTGACAGGGAGCCAGTGGAGAGAAGCTAAAACTGGAGAGAGATTATCTCTCCTACTAACTCCAGTTAAGACTCTGGCAGCAGCATTTTGGATCAACTGAAGACTTTTTAAAGACGTATTTGGACACACAGATAACAAACCATTGCAATAGTCCAGTCTAGATGTGATAAATGCATGAACCAGTTTTTCTGCATCATTTTTAGATGTTTCTAATTTTAGTGATATTACACAGGTGGAAAAAGGAGGTTCTAGTAATGTTTTTAATGTGGGGGACAAAAGACATGTCCTGATCAAAAATATCACCAAGATTTAACATTAGAGCTGGAGGCCATATCAATGCCATCTATGAAGGGAGAAAGACTGAAAAATTAATTCCTAAGATGCTCTGGTCCAAAAACTAAAACCTCAGTCTTGAATGTGTTCAAAAGCAGAAAATTTAGGGTCATCCAGGTTTTTATGTCTTTAAGACATGCTTGTAGTCCAAGTAGCTGATTGGATTCAGACGACTTCTGTTGTGACGTGGCACTATATATATTATTTAAAACAGAACCTGTTATCAAAGTGCTTAACAACAACAATCAATATAATTGAGTTTCATCAGCATAACAATGAAAATTTATCCCATATTGTTTAATAACTTTACCTAATGGAAGCATAAGGTAAAGAGTATTGGTCCAAGCACTGAACCCTGGGGAACTCCATGACTAGCTTTGGTGTATGAAGAAGATTCATTATTTATATTTACAAATTGGAATTTATCAGATAAATATGATTTACACCAATTTAGAGCTGTTCCTGTAATTCCAAAATCATATTCAAGTCTCTGTAGAATATTATGATCAGCTGTATCAAATGCAGCACTGAGGTCTAACAGGACCAGTGTAGACACCTGTCCATTGTCAGAGGCCATGAGAATATTATTGGTAACTTTCACCAGTGCATATTCAGTGCTGTGGTGAGCTCTAAACCCTGACTGAAACTCTTCAAACAGATTATTTGTTTGCAGATGATCATGTAACTGACCAGCAACTATTTTCTCTAGAATTTTTGAGATGAAAGTTAGATTAGATATAGGTCTATAATTGGCTAGGATTCCTAAATCAAGGTTATGTTTCTTTAGTAAAGTTTAAATTACAGCAATCTTAAAGCTCTGTGGTACATAACCATTCAGATTAAGCAGATCCAATATTACAGTACGGAGTTGAAAACAGCAAACCTCATCAGAACCTCAGAACCTTTGACCCATGAATTGTGATCAGAACACTCACGTCCCACCAGAGACAAACTGATCTCAACCATCCATCGTCCATGAAGATCTAAACTCAGCCCTGGATTAAAACGAGGATCTTTTTCATTTTTAACACATAGAACTGAACCGTTCAATGTTTCTGAGTCAGGATCTGAAGATCCAGCTGCTAATCTTTGAACTTGATGAGCACAGGTTTGGTTTTACATCTGACCTGACTGCAGACTTCACATTTGAGCAGATGCATGGTTGGTGCTCCAGTTTTCTGCTGCTTCAATCTTCAGTTGGTGGTCTGGACTCTGGCAGGTGGTCTGGACTTTGACAGGTGGTCTGGACCCTGACAGGTGGTCTGGACTCTGGCAGGTGGTCTGGACATGTGTCTGACTAGCTGCCAGAGTTTAGCAACATTTCACGTATGAATTAATTTATTTGGCTCAGAGATAAAAACTTTATCGAGTGTTTTTGTTTCTTCCAGCTGTTCTGGACCGACAGGTTCTGCACACCTGGCCTGTTTTCAGATACCTGACCCAAATGTTCTGTTGTCACAGAGAACAGCCTCAAACAGAACCAGAACAACAAGGAGAACCTGCTCCACCAAGAACCGGTGTTCCACAAAACTGAGGAGGAACGAGAACCAGGAAAGCATTAGCACTGAAAAACCCGGACCTCCTGAACCGGAACAACTGCACACTCGCTCACTTCCATCATGCAGTCCGGAGCACAGGAGAGGAGGAGGAGGAGGAGGTGAGCAGGCCTCAGTTAGCTCAAAACCATCTGCCATGATGCTGCAGCAACATGAAAAAAATAAACTACGTTTCTATCAGATAGCTGTTTCCTCCTGCACACACCTCCTGCTCCTTCTCCTCCTCTTCCTCCTGCTCCTCCGAAGCCCGCAGGCTAACCAGCTCCATGCGGCGCTCCCAGAACAGAACCTCCCTTTTCTGCTGTGGCTCCCGGAGGAGACGAGCTGAGGAGGAGAAGGATGAGGAGGCAGAGGAGGAGGAAAGAGAAGAGGAAGAGGAGATCTTACCTCCTGCTGCTGTTCCTGCTGCTGCGGTCAGTCTGCTACTCCACCCTGCCGTCGCTCTGAGAGGGAGGGGCTTCTGTTGCCATGGCAACCAGTAGCATCCTCCCGCCGGGGGAAGGGTTGCTGTTGCCGTGGCAACCAGCAGCATCCAGCCTCTTTGGCAGTTGTTTTCACTTTCACTGTGGACCATGCAAATGTCTGGACACCCCCAAACAGGAAGTGACATCAGTGAAGCTTTTTATTTCTGTTGAGTTCAGTTGATTTTTTTGTTTGTTTTGTAAACAATGACGTTTGATTATGATGTTTGTTTACTTTAATATACTGTTTACCCTTTTTATATCAAGAGATTTGATGTGATTTAATGTGGTATTTGTTTCTAAACACTCTGGGATGATGACCTGGAGGTGCTGCTGAAACCCTGAACAGAAAATGATTTTTTTAGTTTATTTGATTTATTTAATCCTCCTCAGTCCAAACAATATTTAAGAAAATAAAACGAGGTTCTTAAATTGCGGCATATCTATTTGTCCATCAGGTGTCCCTGAGGAACACCACAGCTTTGAATTTAGTGCTGATTCACTGATCTGACCAGAGATCAGCAGTTGCTGATGCTGTTTTAACTTTTAGCTCCTTCAGATGCGTGTTGACTTTTGTTTTTTATAACTTTTTATTCATCTTTTAAAATAGGTTTATTTACAAATATATTGATCTAACATTGAGATGTCTTCAGTTGGTAATAAAACATTTTTCTCGTCAACATCTGTTTCATCTACTGGCTCCATTTTGTCTTCTTATCCTACTTTTACCCAGAGTTCTGCTAGTTTTAGTTTTAACAACTCAGTTTAAGCCTTTTTTTTGTTTAATTTCAGTAAATTTATTCAGCACTCAACAGTCAGTCTGCATTTTCCTACAAAATATGATTTCTCTTGTTAATTACATTTATTTTTGTCAGTTTTTCATAAAGACACGACTCTGCAGTGGAGCAGAACTACTTGGAGACGGTCGATGCAGAAACCAGGAAGTGGCTGGAATACGCCAGTTTGAACCATCAGGTCCTCTTAGTCTACCAGGGTAAGGACTCCAGGACTGCACAGATTACTGGGAGAGGTATGCAGTATTTGTTGTTTTTATTTCTGTATATGGCACCCGGTTGTCTGGAATCTGCTACTGTTGGAGCCATAAATAATAAAAACGAAAATTAGTGTTTGTCTGCAGATTATGTAATTTTATTTACCAGTAATACAGTCATCTCCAGCAGACCTGGGTGTGAGTCAGATTAAGAACTGGTCAGTATGGGAGCTCACCATTCTTGTAATCCAGCAAGGCTGTGTACAGAGTCCTCTCCTGTTTAAACACAACTGCGTAGCGACCCACAGTACCAGCACCACACACACATCACAAGTGACAGGCCGACACTGCGTACAATTATTTAAAAAAAACTTAGGTTCTACTGAATCTGACTGTATTTTTACTATATATTGTAAAATTTAATTTTTCATTGTGAACTGGTGGAAAATAAACTGAATGATGTCCAAGTGAAAAACACCACATTTGTCCTGAGAACAGATTTATTTCTGACACAGCAGCGGACACAGAAGGATTGCATTTACAGTTTCAGAGGTTAATCCTCTTCTAACCCTCCACTGAAGCCCTCCCTCCCCACTTCACTACGAAAACCCCACTCATGTGACCACTGAGACTCCACCCACCTGACCGTGTAAGTGTAAACCACCACTGAGACTGCATCCACTTGACCCTTTAAGCCCAACCCACCATTGAGACCCCACCCACCTGACCGTGTAAGCCTAAACCATCACTGAGACCCCACCCACCTGATCCATTAAACCCAACCCACCACCGAGACTCCACTCACCAGACCCATTAAACCCAACTCACCACTGATACTCCACCCAGCTGACCCTTTAAGCTCAACCCACCACTGAGACTCCACCCACCTGATCCATTAAAACCCAACCCACCACTGATACTCCACCCACCTGACCCTTTAAGCCCAACCCACAATTGAGACCCTACCCACCCACCAGACCCAATAAACCCAACCCACCACTGAGACTCCACCCACCTAACCCATTAAACACAACCCACCACTGAGACCCCACCCACCTGACCCCTTAAGCCCAACCCATCACACCATCCTTCATACCTGATCACTGAATCCCCACCCACATGACCACGGCTCCAGTTTCCAGTTCAAAAATCAAGCGGTCCCCTCAAACAGCATCAGATGGATTTTAATCCACATTTACAGTAAAATTATTGAATAAACTACAAAAACATTGATGAGTTCAGGGAAGAGGAGGAAGTTTAATGTAATCCTGAGAGTTTTCCTCTACACATCAACTACTTTAAGGTTTATATGGTTATTGGAGTTATTACGGTTAACTAGTACTATGAGCTTATCTTGCTGGACCAAACAGAACCTGACCCGTTCACTTTAAAAGTCTGAGCCAAGTGTAAACTTGCATGAAACAATTTCAAATAAAAACATTCTCAAAGATAAAGTAAACCGTATCGAACTGTAAAAACAAATAATGATTTAAATTTCATTTGTCAGTTTTATAATTTTATTGCCATATTTTTCAACCTAACTGATTATCTTTCATTTAACCTGAGAGCTCTGCATGATGTCATGTAGAGATGGGAGCTCCGTCTACTGGCGAGTGTCCTGTTACCATTGTTACCATTGTGACTTTTATTTCCTTTAAAAAAGTACTTATTTTAATCTTGTGAGGAAGTGCCAAGAGAAAAACTGAATTTTTAAGTGCTGAGTTGCAAATATTGAATGCACTGCCTCCAAACAATAAATGTTCTGCCTCCAAACAATGGATGCTTTAACTTTAACAATAAATGCTCCACCTAATAATGATAGTTTCGCCACATGATATTATTGGATGAATGCACCGCCTTCAAAATATAAATGTCAGGCTCTAACAATCACATCTAGTTGCATCACATGCTAAGAATGGAATGAGGTTCCACCTCCATACATTGAATAATCTGCCTGCTAACAGATTTTTTCTTCTAAAATTAAATGCTCCACTTTCTAAGAATGGCTGCTCCTCCTTCAACAATGGATGCTCCGCCTCCAAAAGAAATGGATGCTCCTCCTTCAACAATGGATGCTCCGCCTCCAAAAGAAATGGATGCCACGCCTTCAAACAATGCTTATGTTTTACTTTTAAAAGATTGACTGATGCTCCGCCTCTAAATAATGGATGCTTTACTTGCTAACAAAGTTTGCTCCACCCACCAGCCATCAGTTTCTGTGTCAGTCGTGTTATATTAACAAACATTATTGTTTATATAGAGGCTCCCTGAATTAAAAAATCAGTCTCAGTGCAAAGAGGATTGTGTAAACAAAGCAGTGACCATCAATTACCCACAATCCAGCTCGTCTTGAAGACACAGAGTTCAGCTTGAGTGTTGTAACCTGTAAAATGGTTCCAGATTGTTATTAAAATTATTTTCAGCAGCAAAAAGTTTGTAGTGTCAAATGTTCTCTCAGAACCCATCAGGTCCTTTGAGTTTGCAACAAAACAGAACCAAAGTTTATCTTTAAACCCCTCCACACTGGGGCACAGACCCAGACAGGGCTCGCTTTTTGAGCAGTGCCCCCTGCTGGCAGAGCAGCACAAAAAGCTGGTGATCAATGTTCCGATTAAGACAGAAATGATCAACAAATACACAAACTCCAGCAACCCTGGGGAAGCAGCTGGTCAGATCCAGTGGTTAGTCTAAATGTGAAAATGAGCAGAACCATAAAAAGACCTGACTGACAGATCTGTGTCCTGCCCTGTGATTGGCTGCTCTGCTCTGGTCTCTGATTGGCTGGCCACATCACAGGCTGGGATCAGGATGACGCAGGCTGTCAGAGGTTGGAGGACTGTTTGATGCTGTGGAAGGATACTCTGCTGGGCGATGTGGGCAGTGATGTGGCACGAATGGTCCGGCTGCGGATGGAGTGACGGTCATGCCAACGACTCCATCGCTTCCTGACTGCAGAGCGCACCTGCACACAGACGGACAGGTGTGTAAGGTTAAACAAACAAAACTTAAACTAAAACCACATAAATTAAAACGTTACGGGGCCAAGTGCAGAACCCAGAGGAATGCCGCAGAACAATGTTTTCATTGTTGGGTATGTTAGATGTCAGAAATGCATTTGAATAATCTGAAAACAAAAAAAGTTTTGATTTGTTTCTTGGAATTGAATTACCTCAGTGTTGAGAAAACAGTAGAAGACGGAGACAAAGAAGCCCTGCAGAAACATGGAGGGATCGTATCAGTGGCAGCAGGAGGATAAACAAGTTGTTTTAATGCTGCTAACGCTAACACACTGGTTTTATTTACAGAAAGGAGACACTCTGATTCTAACAACTGTTTTGTGCAAACTGTAAAACAAAGGTTATGTAACATCATGAATGTGCACAGAGGGAAATGCAACATGGCAGTTCTGGTTCCTGGTTCCTGCTGGTTTCAGCTCCTAACAAAGAGGGAAGGCGGGAACAGTTGGTCAGAATGTGTCCACGGTCTTTGTGCAAAGACTGAATCAGCCTCATCTCCTGAGACTGAGCTGCAACATTAGTCTGATGACGTATTGGATGAAGCTCAACAAACCTGAAACGACTCCAGGATGGAGTTGAAGTAGATGAAGACGATTCGAGCAACTTCGTCTTCTCCTCCAGGATTCACAAAGAACAGCATGTAGGTGATTCCTAACAGAGGCAGCAACACCAGCGTTGCCTTCACTGCCTTCCTACAGCACAGACGAGAACAAGGAGATGTTCACACAAACTAGCCTAACCCAGACTCTGTCCAAAATACCCCAGACACTTTAAAAAATAAATCTCAAATGTGATAGATCCAGAGCCCATTACAGTCCTGATCCCATCGGCCCTGAAGGGGACTTGAGGTCTTACCTGTACTGGATGGTCTCTGAAGTGGTGGATGCCCTCAGTTTGGTCATCAGGATCCGAACGATGTTGAACAGGAAGACAAAGTTAATCTGAGGAGATTATGATGTTTGAAGGTTTAGAGAATATGTATTCAGAGGAAGGCTGACGGCAAATATTGTAGAGATTAGATCTCATCCTTTCTGGTCTTACAAAATGTTTGTTTTGTTGATTGGACTTAACATAATTTTATATTGACTGAATTTAAGGTGGACTGGCTGTATTTAAGGTAGGCCGGCCGTGTTCTTACCAGCAGAACCAGAATCATTGGGCCTTGGTAGATATAGTCCGTATAAACACCTGCTCTCTTTCCAAACCAGCATCTGTTGATTAAAGAACATAAAACAATTAAATACAACCAACAAGACCTTCAGGATAATAACAACTTTAACCGGGGGACTCCGGTATTCTGACAGGGGCTCAGAAGAAGGTTTAGAGTAGACTCTGTCCACAGCCATAGGACTGAGGATAATTCTGGGTAAAACCTGGTCTTTGTGAATTTACCACCATCGGCCATTTGTCTTATGAAACATCAACAACTGAAAGGAAACTGAGACACCTGAGAGACATCTTAGACCTCTAAAGGCACACGAAAGACACCTTAGAAACTAGAAAGTCACCTGAGACATCTAAAAGACACGTTAGACAAGAGAGGCACTTAAGAGACACCTTAGGCACTCAAGACACATCTGAGACAACTGAGACACATAAAACACACAAGAGACTTGAGAGACACTTTAAACACCAGAGAGACACTTGAGACATCTAAGATTCATCAGAGACACATGAGAGACATCTGAGACAGATATCTGAAAGACATCTGAAAGGCACCTGAGAGGTACCTGACAGACACCTGAAACACCTGACCATTCTCCGAGGGACACTTGAAAAACACCCAAGAAGTATTTGAGACAGCTATAAGATACTGAGAGGCATCTGAGGTACAATAAGACACACCTGAGGAACACCTGAGGAACACCTGAGACATACCTGAGGAACACCTGAGACATACCTGAGGAAAACCTGAGGAACACACATCAATATTGGCTGCAACACAACGGCCTGTTTTTTATCAGCTGCGCTGAAAATCTGCCTCTGCTCGGAATGATGGGGTCACTAACTAACAAGCAGGGCTCAGGCTGCGGTCATGGGACTCCAGGTAGGTACAGTTGTGTTTGTTCCACCTGAGAGAGTTTCGGTGAGCAGAACACTTCCTGTGGGACTCACTTCTCGTTGTCGTAGTACAGCTTCCCAAAAGCCCATGCCACGATTATAGGAAATGGAATGCCTGCAACCAGACAGACAGGTGAACTGAGAGGACAGACAGGTGAGCTGGGAGGACAAACAGGTAAACTGACCCCAGCCGATGCAAACGAACATCCACTTCCTGAGTTTGTCGGTGGAATAAGTGAGAACGACGGCGGTGTGCAGGTAACATCCTTCACCGAACATCCAGAAGAAGTTGGTCACATGGAAGTAGTTATATGCTGCCGTCACCAACCTGCACCACACCTGAGGAGGGGAGGAGCCATGAGTGTGTTCGTATGGTCAGTCAGTATCTTACCTGCTGCAGTCTGAGCGCTCCGTTTGAAATATCATGGAGGATTTCAGGAGCACGAGACAAACGCGCTTGAGTTTAGGAGCCTTTTAACGCCTGAGGTCTAAATTCTGGCGAAACTGATCAGGTCCAAAGACCGAAACTAAGTAAAAGCTGCCAAAGTAAAAATAAAATAAAATAAAAACCTCTGAGCAGCCACAGTCCAAAAATAAAAAAATAAAATCACTGAAAGAACACCCAGAGTACTACTGATCAATCCACTGTAAAATAATCAACGAAAGACTAGATCATTAGAATAAAAACATAAGGAATCGGATTCAGGACTGGATCAGAATACTGGATCAGGAGACTAGATCAGGATGTTTGAGCCGTTTCTGTGTCTCTGATCTGAATATTGATCAACTCGTCTCACCTGGACAAACTGAGCGCGCTCAGACTGACCCCAAAGATTTCCCATACTTTACAAATGTGACTGTACTCTGTGTGTGTGTGTGTGTGTGTGTGTGTGTGTGTGTGTGTGTGTGTGTGCGTGCGTGTGTGCATGTGTGTGTGTGTGGTGAGGGATCACCTGGTTTCGCTCGGTGACCGAGGGGTTCATTGTCAGCTGGACGATGAACCAGGTGGCGTTCCTCAGGATGAAGGCTGAGATCAGATTCCAGTGGATGATATTCCTCAAACAGCGAATACTTCTGTAACACGCACACACGTACACGCACACACATGCACACACATGCACGCACACACACATCTTGAGGATCCTGCAGGTTGAGTTTTAGTCAGTAGATCTGAAGTCAGCATGAGTTGGTTGTAGTGTTTAAAAATCCACAGTCGGTTTCCTTCATGGAGGACCTGATCGGTGTTTGTCGGTTCAGCGGTCCGGAACCAGACCAGAACCATTCTGACCCACAGCAGGTTTTATAATGAGATTAAACCAACCTCAAAGGAACAGCAAGATAATACAGATTACTGCACCATAAGAACTGAATCCAGATGTGTTAAACTGGTTCTAATTCCTGATCCAGCAGCTTGCAGAACCTCCATCAGCTTCAGTACAGTTCTGTAGGACTTCATCAGTCTCTCACTGGTTCTAGAGGGATTTTTGCCCAGTCTACTTCCTTCAGTTCTTTGAGGTTTCTGCTCAGCTCCATGAAGGTCCTGCCAGAGCATTTCAGTCACACTAAGGTTCTGGACCATTGCAGCACCATGGTTCTGTTCTTTTTGACCTGTTCTCTTGTAGATCAGCTGCTGTGTTTGGGATCATGGTCCTGTTGGACCCAGTTTAGTCCAACAGAGGAGTTCACAGTCAACTCAGTGACTGTAGAGAACCCATACCATCGTCCCTCCACCACCGTGCTGACAGCTGGTATGATATGTTTGTGTCAATATGCTGCGTTTGCTGCAGTGCATTATGGGTAAACGTGTCCTTTGGTCTCATGTGTCTGAAGGACACTCTTCCAAAAGTCCTGTGATTCATTCAGTCCATTCAGAGAAAACATTCCAGTTTTATTTATTTTTAAACAAGCCTAAATTTCATTGCTGGATTTTACATAATCTGCATTTTGTGTTTATGACATGAAGCCTCCAAGTGGGTCTGATGGTGCTTTCATTTGGACCTGGAACCATTTTAACACTCCTGTAACACCTGGACAGCTTGGTTCCTAACACGGCTGATGATAGCAACAAGCCTGCCAGCCAACAGGTGACAGGCGAGGTACACCTGAGCAGATCTCTAGTTCATCACAGGATCAACACAAAGACACGTGAGATGAGCAAATGTGTTCAGAACTATAGTGCATGACAGCAATCATCCACCAAATCAGGTGTTTGGCAGTGTCATCCCTAACATCTGTCCTTTAGCTTCACACATCTCCCTCCAAGTCTTTAGCAGAAGAATCTCATGCAGACAGACCCTAACCCGTTCATCCTGCTTTGGACAATGCTCAGACCACGCTGACTGGTATCAGGGGACCATGTGTGCCAAAGTGGATAGAGACAAACAATTGGACGTGATTTACCTAAGTCTCATGAAGAGCGTGAAGGCGAGCAGCAGAGCTCCCAGAGAGATGCAGTGGCCCAGGTAGTTGATGATGACCGCCACCTGATAGTGAACTTTACTTTTCCTCTGAAAACACAGAAACACAAACAGATTCAACATTTCAAGCATCAGAGCAGACATGCCGCAGAACCCAATGGCTCAGAGACCAGAACATGGCAGAATGAGCCCGGCTTTTAATCAGGGTCCACAAAGTATCAGGTGGGATGAGTATGGAGATTTGGGAAACAATTCCAGAAACTTCATGCTAGCCTGCTTTATCCAACCAGAAACCAGTTCTGATTCTATTCTCTATCCAGTCAGAAACCAGTTTTTATGCTCTATCCAATCAGAAAACAG